AAGACACTGTAAGTATGGGATACATAGTACCCCTACTGATTCACCAAAAAAATGGTAAAAGTGGAAAAAAAAACACAGAGCCAGTAATTGACAAGTCCTTTATTCAAAAATCAAATACTATTAAAAAGATGATAGTAAAAAATAACAGTCCACTAAGACCAGATAAATAGATCAGAGTCCTCCAGGAGTTCCCGCTATCCATGTGTGCTTCCACCTTCCAGAGAGAGAAATCACAACTTGTGACTGAAGGTAATACTGCACTCACCAGCTCACAATGCTAACAATGCAACTAACAGCTCATTTTAAACATCACAGCATCCCTCTATGGCAGGGTGGGCAACTGTGGCCCTCCAGCTGTTGTAGAACTACAAGTCCCATGATGCATTGCAAAACTGACAGTTACAAGCATGACTCCCAAAGGCACAGGCATGATGGGACTTGTAGTTCACCAACAGCTGGAGGGCCACAGTTGTCCACCCCTGCTCTATGGCCATCTAGGTCCATCCATCCATCTATGGTCTTTTCATCACAGTTTCCACTCTGCACCTCTAGAGGGAGTCTGAATCAACCATCGCAACACTGTATGGGAAGAACATCACCAAAATACCAGGAGAGTATATATAGTGTATATATGGATATAATTTAGTATTTTATCAGACTAACTTTACAATCATATAAGATCCATGAAATCAGTATAAATAAAAAATGCAATGCACTTACTCAGATGGCCTCCAGACTCTGCCGCTAAATAAACTAAGGGATGGGGCCACCTGATGATGATGTCACCAGGTGACTCTGCCACCTTATGATGTCATTGCCCCAGAAATGCCCCGGTTGATGACATCATAATGGGGTGGGATCACCTGGTGACATCATTGGGTGGTCTCACCCCTAATTTATTTATCAGTTAGTTGGTGGGAGCCAGTGTTGAGTGAAGAACCCATTTTTTTAGGGAGGAAGCTGGTTTTCCTCATGATTGACGTTGGATCTAATTTGGGGGGCATTTATTTTTTTGTTTTTTTGGGGGGTTTTGAATAAATGACTTGGCAAAAAACTGGCTATATGTTTTTACTTACTTTTTGGTGAATGAGTAGGGGTATTACCTTCTGACAAATCTCCCGATCCCTGAATTGTAATCACTGAACTTTGGCACGGTGTTGCTGGTTCATACAGTCCATCATCTGCTGGTGAGTTCCCTTCCCTCATCTCCATTATTAGCACTGGTGCAGCTGCAGAAGGTACAATTAGGAGTCTGGAATAGTATGTAGTACAGTATTGTGACGTGTCCACCAACCTTCTTCCTCTGTTTGCACGGGCAGTCACCAACATGCTCATGTGACAGATGTCCCAGGCTGCATTTAGAGGTGGCTGCCAGCCGATGGCTTTCCAGTCACAATCCAGTTCAGTATAGTAAAAGTCACAAAGTGCCATTGGTGTCTACTGATACTGATTTACTTAGCCACACAGCACCCCCCTCCCCCATTCTCCCACATTAAAGCACTGTGCACAGGGCAACTGTTCCTCTCGGAAGTCCATCCACCTACTTGTTCTGGCCCTGTACCCTAATGTAGTGTTGACCGACTAGCTCCAGGCCCAGAGATGCCCTGCAGGTCACCATCACAAAGGAGATATAGTGTAAAATAATTTATTTCCCTATCTCTTGCAAAAATCTCTACACAAGTTGAAAAGGGACCAGGTAGACTCTGTGATATTGGCTTGATATCATGACATTATCAATAACCCCAGACACAAGTGGGAGCAGAGTCACTCCTCTCCTCACTCTTCCTGCTCGGGCCAATCATAGAAATGTTGCTAAGTCAGATTACCCTGCAGCTGCCCAGGCTTGAGATAATATCATTAAAGTTTGAAAGAAATCAGGGAAACAAATTTTTTTAACCAGAGACAAAATCACGGACACTTTTTTCCTGGAGACAGCCCTCTAAAATTGGGGACTGTTCCCTTAAACTGAGGCCATCTGGTCACCATACCAAAAAGAGCACCAAAACAACTTAAAAGACATTATTTGGGTGTAGCGCCTGAGTCTTAAATATCAGTAAGCACATGGGGTGGACTCTCAAGTAACTCTTTCTCATGTAGGTGAAACTGGCTCTATGAACGTTGTGTGCATCATGTAAGACACAGCAGTGATGGACCCCTCCTGAAACCCAGAAATTGTATCTTAGAGTTTATCTTAGGGTGCACTCACACTGGCAGTTTTAACTGTGTCTGGACATGGTTCATCCCCTTGGTCTAGTTTGTTTGTGTAATGTGAATACTCCAAATTATGCACTGGTTGGTTAAATGTACTGCTTGGAGAACCGCTTCAATGAACACCCACACAGTGGGGAGGGGAGCAGAGAGTAGGGAGGGGGAGAAAATTTAAGGTAATCATATTTTTCCAGCAGACACCAGAGGCAGAAACAGGATGGACAGAAAATGGTGAGGATGGAGTTCTGCTTTAAGTTCCCTTTTTTATAACTTGATTATATTTGGCATTAACATGCTGTACGCACTTCTTATTTATGTGTGTGTATACAATACAGCAAGTATTAAATACAGTATGTTGAAAGAGAAAAAAACTTTTCATTCCAATCACAAAAAAACGCAAAAATAAATTGTTTATTTGAAATAATGACAACAAATATAAACCAGCTTACCATGACAGTAAATTGTGACTTTTTTCGAGTTTACCATTTCTGTCAGATCAGCAGCAATGGAACATTTTGATTAATCCTATTTATTTTCATTCTATTGTGAATCAAAGCTGATGTTTGTTTGGAAAATTCATGTTAGGCTTGGAGCGAATAACAAGGGCATAAAACATACCGCTTTCATAAAAAAACAAATGCCTTATTTTATCTTTGTCTTATAAAATTATAGTAATTGTTGATACCTTGCAGCATAACATCACTATCATCATCAATCATGTGGTAATTTCATGCAAATGGAAGAGATGCCATGGTATGAAAGTAGATATTTAGATTAGACTATGCATTTCAATTTATTTATGCTGCAACAATTACATTAACACTTTCTGTTCCAAAACATCCACTACACACTAGTCTACAGTACTGCCAGTGGTTACTATACAGTGAGCACACACAAGTTCTTGATGATGCAAGAAGACTTCCTAACAGAATGCAAAGAGTCCCTTGAAATACAAATATGACCTTTGTTTTGGATAGAAAAAGAGAGGTTATCGCTTATACCAAGTGTATATTGCTCTCCGTGTAATAAATTGGGAGAATATCCCTCATTTCCTTTTAGGACAGGAAGTGATATCCCTCCCTTCCTGTCAGGACAGGAAGTGATGGGAAATCTCTCCAGGAAGGACACAGACAAAACAGTAGCATAAAATTGGGTTGGAACTTCTGACAATATATTTAGAGCACATACAATTTTTTGTATGCGTTTCACAGGGACAGGAGGTGAGGAAACATCTCTGCAATAGAGTCATAGTCAGAAAAAAACCTGAAAGAAACTTTAACATTTTCTCCCTGTATTCGAAATTAAACGTAAAATTTTGGCTGGAGCTGGCCTTTAATCACTATTGCAGCCACGTGTCTGCTTGTAAATGTCAGTACTTGCTTGTGCTTCCTTCTCTTTTGCTTTTACTTGTTTTAGCTGCTACATGAGTATTTTTATGTTGGCATATGTCACTAACAATTTTCTGTCACAGCTTTTGATCAGGAGTCAGCGGAATGGGTTTCTGATCATGTGACCATTGTGAGAGCTAATCACAACAGTCACATGACTGGGGAAAACCACTCTGCCTCCATGCATTAAAGCCCAATTAAGGGGCCGCTGGAAGGTGGAGTGAAGGTGCTTAATATTTCTTTGTTATCATTACTATGTACTAGATATTTATAGTCTGGATACTTATTGGATACTTAATTGTATCTGAGCACCACAAACTGAAAATGCTATTTAAATCGTTGTTAATATTGAAAGCAAACTCACCCATTTAGCCATGTCACCATTCTTTATTTTATTGGGAAATCACTTTGAAAAACACTCCCCATTTCTTGAGTATGGGTACATGAGTCACGATTGTAGTATTTACTTCCTGCAATCCATATACCCTTAAATGTTACTAAACCCACAACAGTAAAATCAGTCTGTATATGCAGTAATGCATGCTTGTTATACTCACTGTGGAACCTAAGAGATTAATACTCTGCATTGTGTAAAAAAAGGATGTTTAATCCTGTCTTCTCTTATCCTCCCCTTCTTCTACTGTCCCCAGTCCATCTGCTGATAGTACAGAGCTCTGGAAGTCACTCTGCACATGCTCAGTTTAGTGCGTATGGCTAAAGAGGTTTTTTTTTTCTTTGGGAGGGTGCATGTGATCTGCACAGGGCCAGTCAGCTCTGTCCAGTCAGAGGGTCAGGTGTTATGTAGCCTTATAGACCAGTCAGAGGAGAATGGAAACTCCTCCTACAAACTTTAACTAGTGCTCAGCTGGACACTGATAGAAGTCACAAGACTGCTCTACACTTCTAACGTGAAAAGGTATTTAGAAGATTATATTTAGTAAAATAATTGCATTGCCATGTTCTGTGTACTGTGGGAGACCACAAATAGTGAATGTAAGGTCCTGGGTTTAGTAACACTTTAACTCAAGCATGCAGGCAGGAGGATGTGCTTAGCTAAGAAAGCCCCTCCTTCCCTCCTCCAAATGAAAGAAAAAAATGCCCATGAAGATTCCTGGGATGTATGACATCATTTAGACCAAGCCCAGAAACCAAATGAGGAAATGTAAAAAAAAAATTTATAACAAATAAATGCAACAGAACGTTCTATCTATTTACTAAGGCAAAAAAAAATAAATGCAGATTGAGAGAGTTTAGTTCCACTTTAACCACCTCCCGCCCGCCATATAAGGAAATGATGGGTGCAAGGCGGTTCTCTCGTTCTGGGAGGAAGTCATATGACGTCCTCTCACTCTAACCGCGCATGCGGCAATCGGTGGTGCGCTGTGTCCCTCGGACACAGCTGATCACCAATCAACGGAAAGAGCCAAAGATGTCGGCTCGGTCATGTAAATAGGGAAATGCCGGTTATCAGCATTTCTTTCCTCACGAGCTGACAGCTCGTGAGGAGAGGAGAGCCGGTAATCGCCATTCCTCAGAAGGGACATGTACACTGATCATCAGTGTAGCCCCAGCAGTGCCACCTGTAAGTGTCCATCAATGCCAGCTGTCAGTGCTCATCAATGCCACCTGCCAGTGTCCATCAATGCCACATATCGGTGCCTACCAGTGCACATTAATGCATCATATCAGTGCCCATCTGAGCTATATTTCAGTGTCACCTATCAGTGCCATCTATCAATGCCAGTCAGTGCCAACTATCAGTGCCAGTCAGTGCCACCTATCAGTGCTGTCAATCAGTGCCACCTATCAGTGCCAGTCAGTGGCACCTATTAGTGCTGTCAATCAGTGCCACCTATCAGTGCTAGTCAATGCCACCTATCAGTGCGCATCAGTGCCCATCAGTGCTGCCTATCAGTGCCGCCTACCAGTGCCAGTCAGTGCCACCTAACAGTGCCAATCAATGCCGCCTATCAGTGCCGCCTATTAGTGCCGCCTATCAGTGCCATATATGAGTGCTGTCTTTCAGTGCCCATCAGTGCCACCTACTAGTGCCTCCTCATCAGTGCCTATCAGTACCACCTATCAGTGCCCATCAGTGCAGCCTATCAGTGCCCATCACTGCAGCCTCATTAGTGCACATCAGTGAAGGAGAAAAATCACTTATTTACAAAATTTTATAACAAAAACTAAGAAAAAAACATTTTTTTTTTACATTTTCAGTTGTTTTTGGCTTGTTTAGCAAAAAATAAAAAAACCCAGATGTGATTAAATACCACCAAAAGAAAGCTCTATCTGGCACCCTGTAGGCTAGTGTTTAAGTACAAAATTGCAATATCAAAATCTTCAAAATGTATCTTCCTCTTCATCTTTATAACCCATTTATAATTGCTAAGCTACTAATTGTGAACACCTTCAATCACTGGCATCTTCTTTACTCATCTATCTGATATTCTGCAACCTCTGTAAATTTGTAAATTTTGAAAAGATACATTTTCTCCTCCTGTGTCATGATATTGCCTGGAGATTGTAATTTGCACCCTTTTCTTACTGAATATCATGTGATGCACAATATGTTGGATTATTAAAGAATAATCGCAACAACAGCAACTACAATAATTTTAAAGGAAACCAAAAACTGGAAATCAATTTCCCCTTTTGCTTTTATTTTTCTTTTTTTTTTAATAAGAAACCTCTAAAACTATGATGCAGTTTAAAGCAAAACTGAAAGAGTGGATCCTGCCAAAATTTTCAACTATGCACAGCATACATGCATTTTATGAAACACTTACCTGCAAGAGTATCCTCCTGCAGCCCTTCCTGTTTCCAGGCTGTCAGTCACTGCTATATCTCCTGCCACCAAGATCTTTTCTGCTTGTTCTTCCCATTCCCCTATCGCCTATCGCTCATTTTCTGGCATTGGAAGGCCACTGAAAATGTAACTCCTGTGAATGTACACATAAGTTACCTCATTCTCTGCACCCGGCTCAATTCTCAACATTTGCAAACAATAAAAGATTGCTAGGCAAAAAAGAAAGATGTTTTGTGTTGGAAATGGTTTTGTATTTTCTTCTGCCATGAAAAAAATCCCCTTCTAGCAAATTTCATATTTTCAGAGTCTAGTTCCACTTTAAGTAGATATATTATATATACCGGTATATATTTATTAGGATTCATAACACAACTTCAAGCTCTCATCCATTAATAAGGCCTATTTTATGTAATAGACCACTTCTTTTGATGGTTTTTATACACCTACCAGCTGAGCACACATACCACATATATCAACCTGATGTGTTCTGAATCTCTAATTTCTCCACAATAGCTCTTGGTCTCTTAGATGTGTGTGGACACTTCTCCAACACCAGGGAAATTGCAGAACAACTAATAGCTGTAAATGACATAGTGTCAAATGCCAGGGCTGGCACTTTGCTGCTAAATATGTGGATCACTCAGAGGGAAAGGCAATCAATGTCATTATATTGAACTGATCCACAGGTTTGCCTTACTGTAGATTGTTCAATAATTACTATGTACCTTGGCCGAAACCACAAGTAGTCAGAAAAAGTGACCCCTTTGGGAATACTTTGAATCTAAATGTAAAGGCAAAATAAATACTTACTTTGCTACAATGGGCATAGACACACTCCTGCTATCAGTGCCAGCAGACTATAGATCAGTCAGATGTAATGTGTTCCTTCAGAAAAGCCCAGACAGCAGTATTTCTGACTTTAACGGGAAAGAAGAGAAGTTTATTTTCCTCCTTTATCATTGGCTGGTGCTTCACTAATGCTGAATTCTTTCCTGACTATAGCCAACAAAACTAGCTCTTTGAACATTTACAGGCTAAAGCATGGACCAAATTCTTATTTATACAACATTCACATTAATGTATGGTGAAATGGCTGAAACTTTGCAGAATTTAGAGATCAGCTGGGTGTTCTGCTCCTTAACCGCTTCCTGACCGCCCTATAGCAGAAATACTGCTACAGGGTGGCATATATACTGTACGCAGGGGCGGACTGCCCATTTGGAAACTCGGGCACTGCCCGAGGGCCCGGGGTTAGTAGGGGGCCCCATGAGATGCCCCTGGTACCTTTTTCATAGGCTTTTTTTGAGTTTGGGCAAGGACACAGGGGCCCCATGATCCCCTATTGCCCGGGGCCCCATGAGTTGCCAGTCCGCCCCTGACTGTACGTGAGGGCCGGGGTTTAGTAGTGGGTCCATGAGATGGCCCCTGGGTACCTTTTTCATATAGGCTTTTTATGAGTGTTTGAGGGGCCCCATGATCCCCTAAATTGGCCCGGGGCCTTGAGTTGCCAGCTTGCATTCGCGGCCGCGGCTGTCAATCACCAGGTCCTAGCTGGTGATTACTCACACGGCGCCCGGTGATTTCTGAGGATCTCCATCGGGGAGAGGACTGCTTTGTTTACTAACAGTTCTCCTCCCTGTCAGCTCGAGCACACTGCTTTGGATGGCTGTGCACAACACAGCCATCCAAAGCAGTGTGATTACAGTGAAGCACACTGACACCACCCCTAGTAAAACACTTCCAGCGCACAGTTAACCCTTTGTTCTTCCCTCATGTTAACCCCTTCCTGTCCAGTGCCATTAGTACAGTGTCAGTGATTTTTTTTAGCGCTAATCACTGTCAGTTCCTCCCAGTGTCAGAATGTCCACTACAGTCTCGCAGTCCCGCTATAAGTTACTGATCGCTGCCATTACTAGTAAAAAAATTTAAAAAATTTAAAATCGCAGTATTTATACCGCCATTTGTAAACGCTATAACTTTCACATAAACCAATTAATTTACACGTATTGGGATTTTTTTTAGCAAAGACACGTAGCAGAACATTTTGGTGCAAATTTATGACAAAATTTGATTTTTTCCATTTTTTTTTTGGACATGTTTAATAGCAAAAATTAAAAAATATAGTTTTTTTTCAAAATTGCCGGTCTTTTCTTTTAGTAAAAAAAATAAAACAAGTAATCAAATACCACCAAAAGAAAGCTCAATTTGTGGGAAAAAAGGACATTTAATTTGGGTGCAGCGTTGCATGACCACGCAATTGTCAGTTAAAGTAACGCTGCGCTGTAACACAAAAAATGGCCTGGTCAGGAAGGGGGGTAAAAACTTAGGAGGGCAAAGTGGTTAAACATACAGTACATGCCTCCTAACACCAGAGCTGGGAAAGAAGCACACATTTTAGGATGACAAGGAAAGTATGTTGCACTGCTGTGAAAAGTGTGCATAACTAGATCAGAATGGTTTAACTTGTTGGCGCTGATAGTACGCAAATATGCGGCCTATCAGTGGCTGGGCCTTGAAGCCGAGCAGCTGCATATTTTCATACCAGAAGTAAACAAACATGTGCCGAGAGCATGCAGCCTGCACCTCACGGGAAGGTCCCAATCACTACTTGCGGCTGGGACCTTTCCGATCATGTGATCGCTGTGACTGCTTATTGAGGTGGTTACATGACCCTAAACCCCGCCTCACCTCCCAGCATCACAAACCCCTTAAAGGGCCGAGAGGCACCGCTGTCAAGGGTTTAAACAGATATGGCTAAATTATGAGTGTGCAAATATAAAACATTCATACATACTGTACATTTTACATGCTGCTATTGTGACACACTTAATTAAAAAATATTATTGATGATATACAGTCAGGTCCATAAATATTGGGACATCGACACAATTCTAACATTTTTGGCTCTATACACCACCACAATGGATTTGAAATGAAATGAACAAGATGTGCTTTAACTGCAGACTGTCAGCTTTAATTTGAGGGTATTTACATCCAAATCACATGAACGGTGTAGGAATTACAACAGTTTGCATATGTGCCTCCCACTTGTTAAGGGACCAAAAAGTAATGGGACAATTGGCTTCTCAGGTGTTCCATGGCCAGGTGTGTGTTATTCCTTCATTATCCCAATTACAATGAGCAGATAAAAGGTCCAGAGTTCATTTCAAGTGTGCTATTTGCATTTGGAATCTGTTGCTGTCAACTCTCAAGATGAGAACCAAAGAGCTGTCACTATCAGTGAAGCAAGCCATCATTAGGCTGAAAAAACAAAACAAACCCATCAGAGAGATAGCAAAAACATTGGGCGTGGCCAAAACAACTGTTTGGTGTTTGGAACATTCTTAAAAAGAAGGAACGCACAGGTGAGCTTAGCAACACCAAAAGACCCAGAAGACCACGGAAAACAACTGTGGTGGATGACTGAAGAATTCTTTCCCTGGTGAAGAAAACACCCTTCACAACAGTTGGCCAGATCAAGAACACTCTCCAGGAGGTAGGTGTATCTGTGTCAAAGTCAACAATCAAGAGAAGACTTCACCAGAGTGAATACAGAGGGTTCACCACAAGATGTAAACCATTGGTGAGCCTCAAAAACAGGAAGGCCAGATTAGAGTTTGCCAAACAACATCTAAAAAAGCCTTCACAGTTCTGGAACAACATCCTATGGACAGATGATACCAACATCAACTTGTACCAGAGTGATGGGAAGAGAAGAGTATGGAGAAGGAAAGGAACTGCTCATGATCCTAAGCATACCGCCTCATCAGTGAAGCATGGTGGTGGTAGTGTCATGGCGTGGGCATGTATGGCTGCCAATGGAACTGGTTCTCTCGTATTTATTGATGATGTGACTGCTGACAAAAGCAGCAGGATGAATTCTGAAGTGTTTCGGCAATATTATCTGCTCATTTTCAGCCAAATGCTTCAGAACTCATTGAACACCGCTTCAC